ATCCCAATGGGCAGCCAAAAGACAGCAACCAAAACCGGCGCTTGAATATGCTTGGTTAATGGTGGTTCAAACTGAAACTGAAACCACTTGCGGTTACTCAAAACTCTGCGTCTAATCTCAACACTGCTCGTCCGGTCGCCCCACCACGTTCGTGCAGTTCTGCGTAGACAGCAGTATTCAAACACATTCGACAGTTTATTTGTATCCTGTTCTCGTAAGCGGTTAACAATTTCGTTCAGAGCTGAAATAAATCGGTTGAACAAATTGTACATCGACACTATCCTGGGAAACTTTAGTTGCCGCGGCATGTGGAGGACTATCGACTGACTGTGTGGCAGTAGCATTAAACACAAAAAGGGAACTGTCGACGTTGGAAGACTAAATTCCGAGTTTAGTCCAGTTTCACAGTGCTCTGCCCTGGCAGACTTAGTCAGCTTTACACCAACGTCAACTAGCGAACCCGCCATAGTCCTGAAACAGCTCCAGAAAACAAATTTGAGTCCGGATGAACTATCACCCGTGGCACTCAAGGTATGTGCGGACACTCTTGCAGCCCCATTGTCTAAAATATTCAGTGACTGTCTGATAAGTGGGAAAATTTGGAGGCTGGCCAAGAGAACTTCTTTTCCAAAAACGAACCTGGGAAATATCGTCCCATCGCCTGTACGTCAGTCATGCTCAAATTATTTGAGAGATGCTTGTTAACGTGGGTTGACACTGAGTCTGCGGAAGACGCCATACATCCATTGGCATATCGTTCTTCGCATTCAACGCTTGATGTCATTGCATACCTTGTTCATTCAGTAATCTTAGCACTAGATAGAAAAAGTAAGACTGTCAGAATGGTGTTCTTAGAACACAAAAACGCTTTCAGCAGTCTTAATCAATCGGTATTGCTCAACCTGATTACCGAATGTGGTGGTAATCCGTTAGCAGATTGATCCGCGATTATTTCACAAATAGAAGGCAGTTTACGTGCCTCAACAGCAAAACTCTTCCACTCGCCCCGTCGCTTCTGGTGTCCTGCAAGGTGCAATATCTTCCCCATTTTTCTTTTCAATGATTATCAATCAATTCCCTATTCCTCCTACATTCATTGGCTGTAAATAAGCTGATGACGTTGTTTTAGGTTGCAAAGCATCCACCCCAGAAGAGACTTCAGAAATTTAAAGCAAGCTAAACAACGTTGTTACTTGGTCTTTGTCCCGTTCCCTCTCATTGAATGCCTCCAAATGTTATGTTTTTCCTCTTGGCCGATGTACCATATTCAGCCCTCACAGATAGGTAGGTTGCTCACCCTCTCTGCCTATGTTCTGTTCTGTCCTGTTCTTA